CTTGCTTCACAGGCTCAGGATGCTGAGGCTGGGCACTCCTGGGGCTAACCTTTAGAACAATTGCAAGAAGTGACATAACTGCAGGAAGCCGTGCAGGTGGGAGGAGCAGACCTCCTGAGATAATGCACGCTCACCCCTTGAAGGTAAACTTGTGGCTTGATGATCCAGGGGTTGGAAAAGAGGCTGTTCACTGCCTTGGTCAGGAAGGGTTGGGTAGAAGTGTTCGTCTTCACACCAGGAAGAAGGTAATAAGAGTCAACTTTGAATTGATGTCATTTTTAGCCTTAAAAATCTTTAAAAGTATGTATTAAACAGTTATATAAAGTTGATGGAGTTCAAAAAGAATCCTTTAGATACTTCATAAAAAATAGTTTCTATATCTTCCAGTTTCTCTCTTTTTTAAGTTTCTATTTTCCTTAAAATTTATCACTGCTATCTTTCGTCCCCCAAACACACAATTATAAGTTAACAAACCATCATTCTCATAACGATTAAAAAAAAGAGAAATGGTCATTTTTTTAAAAGCATGATTTTAGTCATCAACAAAGAGAGAAAACTAAAAAAAGAAAAACGGATTATACAAATATTAGGTATTACCAACTTGCTCTGTTTAAGGACACTGAGGCCTTAAATGACCAACTTAAGACCTTTTCCTTATTATTATGTTGTACAATAGTTTAAAATACTCCCTCAAAATTACACGAGAACTTATGATTTATATAAAAGACTATTTAAATAAATAACACAATCAATGTTTCCATTCAAATGTAAGAACTTAAAGTTACATTTAGGTCACATTTAATTAGAATATATATAAGAAGCTTTCTGCAAAAAATGGTAACTGTTCCCTTTATTAGCTTATCAAAATATAAGATGGGGCGAGACTCAAAAATGGAGAGCCAAAAAGGTAATCACATCCTGTTTCAAGACTCACATATTATTAATAGTTAAACTTCCAAATTAAATGAACATTGCTTTCTGGAGTTGAAATCACACATCTTTCAAAAAGTAAGGCTACAAGAAACTACTTTAATAATAGGGTTAAAACATTTAAGCTGTTGTGCTAAGAAAAGCAATCAGCTTCTCAGATTTAACTAAACCACCAAAAGTTACTGTCTGGTTATCTGCTACAAGACACTGATTTTTTTCTTGGGATAAGAAATTCAACATATGGCACATAAACCATGTCAAACATTAGTAATTGATACTCATAATTTGTTTCTTCTGAAATTATTATAAAGCACACTGTGAATTCAAAAGAATATTTTCCATTCCTGAAAATATTCAGTGATGTATTACATGCTAAGAATCATTCCCTAATGGAAAGTTATAACAAGATTTTTATCTATAATAGTATCCTTTTTTGGCTGAGGGGAAAGAGGATTTGTATGGGTACAAAGACTCAAGGAAGGGAAAAATATGCATGAATAAAACTACCAGAGAAAGTAAAGTGGAAAAAAGCAAATCTTGCCAGAGTATGGGTTAGAATTTCATCTACTATAAAAGGTACCATGTACCTCATAGAATATGCTAATGATCAGTCCAAGCCTATGGTTTTATATGTGATCCAGCTACAGCAAATCCAGAAAATTGACTCATGGGGAAGAGCAAGCCACCAAGGGCAGATTATACTAATTTTGTGACAGGCTGTTAAATTAAGCCAGCTCCCAAGTAGGCTTGCCCTGCTATTCTGGCTGCTCCTCAAGCACTCTAAAGTGCTTGTCATTTACTCAAGCTGTTCACTCAGCCAAGCAAGTTTCCAAGAGGTGATTTCTTAAAGTACACATTTCGCAACAAAAATTTTAGCAGAGATTTACCTTATACCCAAATCTACTTTTAATCAAAAGCTAATTGTCAGCTCTGTGAAATTATTTCAAGGTACCTCTTCTTGACATTTCTCTCCTCAAGAAAAAAGGGACCTGTTTGATTTCGCTTATCTCTGAGTCATGTTTTCTACTTTATTAAAATGTATGGTCTGGGCAAAATGGTGTATGTTAATTTGTTACATAGCAGATACAGGCAATTTGCTCTAACATCGTTCCTGGGGATCTCTGGAGAGCTCTTCCACTTACCCAGCTCACTCACCCTTACAGGGCTCGCAGTCCACGGATTCAGAGACTAAGGTATGAGACAACTCCTACGGCGTTCAGGACCGAGAACCATTATAGGAAACAGTCATTCACTTAATAAATAGTCAATGTGTACTAGTCATGTGCAAGTCATTTTAATCATAGTTTTTAGGAACCCAGAAATCAGAGAGGCACCACAGAGGGTTCCTGCTTGCAAAGAACATAAACCTTTCCATCAGGAACTTATCAAATTGCCTTTTTGGTAAAAAAGGTAACAAGAGCAACGATTAAAACATATAGGTTTACTATAAGCTGGAGTTTTATAATCAAGATTGGATTTAAAATTACATTTTCTGTGTCAGCTCTATTTTTGCAGGTGTAAAATCCCATTTTTCTACTAATGAAATCCTCTTCCCCCTAAGGAATATAGTTTTAGGAGGCAAGGTTTCAACTTACTGTATTTCAGTTTTTCTTTAGAAAAACAGGTATGTATTATTAAAAAAAAAAAAAGTACTTGGTAAACTGGTTTTCTGAAAATAAGAGATACCTAGAGATGAATCCTTGTTCCAATAATAAGCTTTAGTGTCTTTGAAACAAAGTTGATGAGCTCCTACAAATAAATTTAAATGAATTTTTCTGCAATCTCAACAGTAGTTTTTTTCAATAATCTTCCTTGTATAAATTCTTGGCATCAGGACAACAAGTTTTATGGTGCTGACATATTAATGAAACTTCTGATGGTTTATGTTCATCGCTTTTTAAAAAGAAGCAAGCTGGGACTCTAAGATATAACACTGATAACTCAATAATCAGAACAGAACATGCTGCTACTTGAGAACTTAGACTAGAGAAGGAAAATCAAATGGGTTTTTAAAAGAGTAAAGTGAGACAATAAGAACCTCATTTATTTCAAAAATACAGGTGTGTTGGATAAATTCCAAGTTTAAAATATTATTAGAAAAGAAGCACTAGAAAAAATTTGTTACAAATCAAGTAGCAGATAATCTAGAATACATTTTAGAATAGCAGCTTGCCCTACCATTGGACATGTCACATTTGACTAGCATAGATTTCATCTGATAGTGAACAATTTGACATACTTTAAAACATCAGTGTTCTGGATTGTTATGACAACGAAGTCTATAAATCACAAGTTTACATGACACACCTCAAGGAGTATCAGATATTGAAGAACAAGAATGTTTCAACAATATCATTTCTGTATCAGATGAGGTCAAGTAAGTATCTATGAGACAGTCAGACCCCACATAATTGTTTCATTTGACATTTAAAATGACAGAGAACATTACTTTAAGAAACAAGTGAAAAACTGACTCTTTTATCCTTGCATATTTCTAGTGAAATCTAACTGTAGGTTTTCTTCTGGATTTTTTTTTTTTACTCCTAATGGTACAAAGTGTGTGGCTGAAATTAAATAAAAAGACAAGCCTTGTCAGATTTGTTAGCATGAGTCAAAGGATCACATTTCCAATGATATTTTCTTCATCCAAAACTAAATTGGCAGAAAGAACATGAATTATATAGATAATGGCTCTAAGCTGACATAGTAGGTCTTTTACCAACTAATTTTATAAACTTGGACAAGATACTTAATATCCCTGATATCTCTTCAAATAAAAAATAATGCATTATTATTTATAACTTAATTATAATAAATAATACTGTGCAGCCTAATGTTTTTGTAATGATGCAAATAGATTACTTGTGACTAATCTATTTAGCATTGTAAGTGCTAAATAAATGTTTGCTTTTATAAGCTGATGCCAATTAAAAAAAATAATAACTTGCTAAGTTAATCAAAATCTTTATTTCTTGGAAAAACACTGCAAACTGGTCAACAGTTGAAGGGAATTTAATCATGAAATTGAAGGGCTCAGAGTTTGAAAAGACCTCAAAATTTTAAGTCAAACTTCCTACCTGACTTTGAATATTAAAGTGTTGTCATCTAACTGGGGTCCACGGAGGTTAACAAGTTGCCAAGGCTTCCTCACTAGTTAGCAGATGAACAAGGAGTAGCAGAATGTAAGGCTTCTAACATTACTGGTGCTGCGATTCTGTTCTTCAAAATACATTTTAATTATTAGCAGTGAATATGAATAAGAAGATGAAATTCTTTTAATTGTCCTCCAATAAAATAATTTTAAAAGATTTACCATTATTATATTTTTACCTTTCAGTAAATGGCAGCTCACATATGTAGAACAATAGTTATGGAAAAGTGGTTAGGGATGAGGACTCAAAACTTTTCTATCAGGCAGGAATAGAGGGGGCTTATAATTGTTTGCTTGTGTCACACTGTTTCCCTACCTTGATTGCAGGTTTTCCCAGCATATCCAGGATGACACTTGCACTTGTTTGGTCCAATACATTCACCATGTTTGCACTGTGGTTGGCACACAGCTGAGAAAAAGACAACATCATGCATTATTTTCCCATCAGCAGCACACCATATAAAATCTATGTCATGTACTAGCTTGATGCTGAAAAATAAAACTAATAACTTATAACAAAGTAGCAGAAATATTCAAAATCACTGTCTTATAGTGGTAAGCACTGTCTAGACAACACTTTCATACATGTTATGTACATGTGTGCACGTGAGCATGTATCACTTGGGGCTGAAAAATTTGCTAAACTTGACAACACTCAAATAGTCAAAAAAAAAATGTAAGACTATACATAAACACAACTGATGTTTGTCAAAAGTTATAACTTTAAAATAACCTGCACCTATATTATCAAACCCATTCTCTCAAGTATACTTCAAAAAAGTCAAGTATATTGTTGATTATAAATATATTGGTTCTATATAAACTCCAGATAAATTTCCAGTTAAATAATGAAATACTTATTTTATTGGAAATGGTATTTCTAGGTATGAAATGGTTCAAAAAGAAATAAAAACTGAAACAATATTTTTTGGAACTTCAACTTAAGAATACCTTCTCATCTTGCTCTTTCTTAACCTTAGGTGTGTTGCAATTGCTTGTTGACCTGTAATGTCTGTCCCATAGCCTGTCACGGCAAACAGAAAGTTCTACTTTACATTTACTACCTTCCATCAACTGAGTGTGTCTTTCTTCAAGACCCTAAAATACTATAAAAACATCACTCAAATCTTTTCACCGTCTTTGATTCCTGCTAAGGTACTAGTTAGAATTTATTCTTTTTACTTTATACCAGTGATTCTCAGCTGGGGGGATTTTTGCCCCCTATGGGATACTTGGGATAAATGAAGACATTTTGGTTGTCACACTAGGGAGAGGATGCTACTGGCATCTAGTGGGTAGAATACCGAGATGCTGCTAAACAACCTACAGTGCTCGGATAGACCCCACAAAAACAAATTATCCAACCCAAAATGTGATGGTGCCAGGTTAAGAAACCTTGTTCTATGCCAAATACGTGCATGGGCCTATGCCAGGTACTAAAATAGATGAAAAATCATTGTCTAGAGTGGTCGCTGGTCTCTAAGAGCTTACAGTCTAGATAGAAAGACAAAACAATCATGTTTTTAATTCAAGGCAACATTTATTTATGAGCAAATGGGTGGCACATATGAAACGTGTCAACGAAATCAACACACAACCATATCGACATAGATTTGTACAGAAAGCCTGTAGAACAGACATGAGTGGGGCCTTGAAGCATGGGTAGACAGAAAAGAGAATATTATCCAAGGTAAGGGGAAGCATAGTGTAAAATAGATCCTCATTTATTTAAGAGACACTGAGGAGGCTTTTCAAGTTAAAGAAATGGGTTGATACTGTTAGGAGTGTAAGAAGTAGACAATCATAGGTGAATGGTATCAGATGATGTTCCCTCAATTTGAGACTGAAAAATATACACATTATAGGAAAAGTTTATCAGCAACAGGAGAATTACCTGATAAAAATCAAAATTCTGGGAATATTAGCCAGGTGGTGATATGCAATATGAACTGGAAAGAGTCTAGTTGACATGAAGAAGTCATGACTTGTGTTTGCGACAGGAAGAGACAGGCTTCAGTAACCACTGAGTGAAGAGCTAACACATCTTAGACTGAAGGGAATGGGATCAACAATGACCCTGAATTCTCAAGTCCCTGACACCTGTTCTTTCCCATATTAGCCCTGGCTGTTCTCCATTCTGGGATATGCTCCCAGATTCTGACAGTTTCTCAAACAGTGTCTCCTTCAAACTCTAATATTCCCGTGAAACTGATGTGCATGTTATTTCTGGTGTTTTCTACATATCCTCACTCAATTCTCACTACCCTTCCCTGGCCTGGCACTCCAGAGGGCTTCCTGCCAATTTTACTTTCAGGCCTTTCCTGCCTATTTATTTGTCACTCCAACTAGACTCTGTATCACTACCAATCCTTAGATAGCTCAGTCGGTATTTAAAAACTTGCAAAAAGAAAGGATGAGCAGAATGGAAAGTGTAAATGGTAGAGAAATGTGCTTGAAAGTTTTTTAAATCTGATTTTAGACATGTCATGAAATTCAAAGGGAAGCAATTTTGTTCAAATCTGTAAGAAATGAACTATATAGGAAGGACTTCCAATACTCTTTTTAGGTGAATTGTACACCTGGTAGATGGTTTATATGCAGTTTTTAAAACAAGTCCCAGAATTAAGCCATTTTTATGTAATTTCCAGGTCCCATCATCAAGAAATGCAAGTTGAATATAATTTATTTAAATCTTAAAATAAAGATGTTCCATACATATTAATAATTATATATAAATATGACCTAAATCAAGTATCACTGAGGCACTTGTAAAAGTAAACACCTCAAAATCATTAAAGGTAAGTCAAGGTAGTTACCTCCCAAAACATATGGAATTTGAAAATATCTGTAAAAACATGAAAACGTTGTTTAGAAAGTACCACTTAAAAACTTAAATATATATATATATTTAGAAGAGGACACTTTATGAAATAATTAAACCTGAGGCCTCCAGGCTATATTGCCTTTTGACCCCCTGGCCAGCCTGACAACCATCATTTATAGCCCTTTCAGGTGCTTTATAGGAACAAAAGTTTTTATTGTCCCCCTCCCCTTCTCCTTGTTTGTTCTCAGTGGAGTGCCCTAATCTTGGGCTCATCAAATGCACAAGTTCCAAGAGGCCAGGCTGTTAATGTTTCTTACATATTCAGGGCATCAGTATTTTTTCCTTTCTTTTTGTTTTACTGCTATTTGCTCTTCTAGCCAACACACTATTCGCTGAAGTGACCAACGACCTACGTATTAGCCAACAGCTATTAAGTGGGATAAAATACTAATAATGCTCATATAACAATTTTTTTTCTCTCTTACAAAAAGAAAACTCTGAAAAATGTTGCACAAAAGTACTTTTTCCTATTATCTTATTGGCATTAGGTCTGAAATGGAATTCAACAAACGTGTATTGAACATTTGTTATATATAATGTATTACATGAGTAAAGTCTGGGGGAAATGAGTCACAGAGGATATGAAAAATTAACTGTGAAACTATAATATATTGACCGAAACGTAACAAGGTCTATGAGAAAGAGATGAGATGAAAGAGGGAAGGAGGAGGGGCAGATAACTGACTGCAGGCACTGGAAAGCCCTCCTGTGGGAAACGTGATCTGAGCAATGCCTTAGAAGAAGCAGAGACAGTGGGATGGGGGACAAAGCCTTTGAGAATATGAGCAAAGTATGGGGGAAGGACAATGAAGGCGGTTCTGTGCAAGTGCCAAGTGTTCTAGTGAAACTGCAGTGTGAAGTGCTCGTAACAGCAGATGAGATCAAAAGACAGGCTAGGGCAGATCATAAATGACAGAACCTGCTGGCTGCTTACCAGTATCTGTTTTCCCCTTCTTCTTTAAAATAAAATGGCTTTTTTCTTTTTCTTTTTCTTTTTTTTTTTGGAGTGGGGAATGAGTTAGAAATGAAAACTACCAGTTCCTTATCTTACCTGGTAGATTGAGTAGCCAAGCAACTAAATTATGGCCAACTGTATGTGAACAGAAGTTATTGGGTGGAACATTTGCAATGCTACTTTAAAAAGTCCTATTATGCTTCCTCTGCCTACTTGCCTGGACTATAGAAGTCATGGTGAACTTCAGAGGCCACTTTGTGGCCATAAGCTAATCTTGAGAATGAAAAGGATGGCAGAGCAAGAAATCATATTAACCCTAAATTGTCATCCTAGCAATTTAGCAATTCTTTGTGTCACTATGACTTGCAGCCAAATATAATTCCTAACTGACTATCCTTGAGCACCAGGCTGTGGGATCTGGACTTAATGTGTGCTCATTATCAAGCAAGCAAAAGTCTTCTTTGGATGCACACTTAGCATAGAAATGTTATGAACATATCCTAATAAAAAAATACAACTTGTCAAACTTAGTTATACGGATAATGCTATGTAACTACAGAAGTATCTTAAAAACTTCATCTCTATATCTAAAGAATTAAATTAGAAAACACATCTTGAGACAAGAGAAAAATGAACTCTTGTGTAAACTGGTCTGCCTTTTGAAAACCCACTCACTGTGATGTGAGCTCTCAGTGGCCTGCACACACCAGCCTTTACAACCTGCTGGGGATAGGTCAGAAAAACAACGATGACTACAAAAGAATAAGTGATTCACTGTTAGTGGTCTATTTTAGAACAGTCTTCTAAAAACATCAAAAATAGATGATATACTTGATTTAAAAGAAATAATGAGTCTGTTATCACCACAGGTTTATCAGAAAAAGCAGCATTGCTTCTGAGACCTTCATGCGGATCAGGGACAAGAATGTTGGGCTGTATTTGATAGTCTAGTGTCCTCTGCATCCACATGTGGTTAACAGCTCAGTAAGTTAAAGTCAGGTGAGGATCACAAATTGTCAATGAATGAATGATAGATTTTTTTACTCCAAAATTGGATGCCAGAATTAAGCCCAAATTGGTAAATCGCTCTCAAAATTTACTTTCTAACAGTCCTGTAGCATAATCTCCAAAGTGCCCTTAAAATAACCTCTAAGTCATTACTTTAACTAGAAAAAGAAACAAGTCTCAACTGGCAGAGCAAACATAGCTCTTTAATGTCACATGTCCAAGCCTCTTCTGTTTGCAATCTAATAAAATTTTACTCTTAAAAGTTCATCTTAATGGATGTAACTGGGGTTCTGAGAGTTGGATAGCATTTTCTGATGTTGATGTAAGTAGTGAGTTATCAAATAAGTTAGGGGAAAATTAAATTCCCACATTGGTTCTATATAATATTTCTTATGTAAATTAATCACACTGGGAGTCAAATGCCAACTTTTGAAAAAATATGGATATCCTGAGGTGCCCAAGCAGATGGTGGCTCTGGAGAGTGACAAGGAAAAAATTCAACTCATCCTCAAGTGTTGTTAGTAACTTGAGACGGATTTTCTTAATGTAAATAAAATTGTAT